TTGGATATATTAATTTATATGTACAAATATACTGCGTTAGAAATAATAACCACAATTGAAACACGAATGTGTCTCACTCAAGTTGTGAACAATCCTTTTTGAAAATTATTTCACATGATTACTGCAACGTCCTTCATCCCTTTCCACAGCAGGACTCTGAACTTCAGATAATGGATGGCGAAAAGCACATAATTAGGAAAAAAGTCAAAAAAAGAAGCAAAAGAAAATTATACCCAGACTCTGTAGCTTGAAATGGTTCTATTAGTATCCCAACTACTTCTGATGATTTATTTTTTCCAAGCGCTTTGAGAGTAGGTTTCAGTTGACTTTCTAAAATTGCAGGTTCTTCAACACAAAATATTTCTTTGAAAAGATCTGTCATATTTGTATCTTATCTGTTTTGTTCCTGTGAAGATTTTCCTCTGTTGAAAAAACAAATATGTTTGGTGGTGAGCTGGACATTTAGTTTGGGATGAAATCCTATGCACACTTGCATGCTTAAACCAAATGATTTGGTGGGTTTCAGCATGTCTTTGTTAGGGCTGTCATAAAACGGTAGCAAATTGCTGCTTGAATATTACTGTATATTTGTTGCTGGGAAGAGAGGAGAGGTGTACTGTTTTCTTTCTGTGGTGCCAGAATATATTAATTGAGTTTCAATGCAATGTACTTTGGCATGTGTGTCTCTACCCTGTTTTCCTGAAAATAAGACCTAACCTGAAAATAAGCCCTAGTATGATTTTTCAGGATGCTTGTAATATAAGCTCTACCCAAAAAATAAGTCCTAGTTAAGTGAAACCCCACCCTCCACCATTGTGCAGCAACCAGAAGGTGACATGACTGTATTTGAACAAATGTAGATTGTTGTACATGAAAAAAAATCCCCTGAAAATAAGCCCTACTGCATTTCTGGGAGCAAAAATTAATATAAGACCCTGTCTTATTTTCGGGGAAATATGGTATTTGATTTACTGCTCGCTTTCAGGTAGCAAAACATCTTGTGATGGCCAGGCGCTGAGAATAAGGCTGATGCTGTAGGTCACAAAAAGTACAATTCATTTCTCGTTAAGACTAGTCCTATCATTAAGTAACGTGGAGCAACTGCCACGGGAGGCAGATACTAACTACACAGCGGTTGTGGTGACATATGTCCTTTGCTTCATTCAGCAAAGTATCTTGGGGGGTCTCTGTCATCACTGGCTTTTTTGGACACTGTGATTCACCTCTTGGCTCAGCAAGAGGATTCCTTTTACCTTTTAATTTTCCAAGTCACTCACCTCTCCTAAACTCTCCCTGAAAGATAAAATATGCAGGATGATAATACTGTTGAGGCTGCTGTGGAGAAAATAATCCTTCATTATTGGTGGTAATAAAGAGTGCTGAGAGAATGGTTTAAACCAGCAGCTGGAAGGTGCAAAACAACAGATGTTTGCAAATGACAGAGCATTCCTCTGAAACACAAGGTATGTGTGGATAAAACTACCTAATGCTACAGCTAGATCATCTTATTTAACTTATATGCAAAATATATCATGCAAAAGGCTGGACTGGACGAATCCCAAGCCAGAATTAAGGTTGCAGGAAGAAATATCAACAACCTCAGATACGCAGATGTTACCACTCTGATGGCAGAAAGTGAGGAGGAATTGAAGAACCTCTTAATGAGGGTGAAAGAGGAAAGTGCAAAAAATGATCTGAAGCTCAACATTAAAAAAACTAAGATCATGGCCACTGGTCCCATCACCTCCTGGCAAATAGAAGGGGAAGATATGGAGGCGGTGACAGATTTTACTTTCTTGGGCTCCATGATCACTGCAGATGGTGACAGCAACCACGAAATTAAAAAATGCCTGCTTCTTGGGAGGAAAGCCATGACAACCCTAGAGAGCATCTTAAAAAGCAGAGACATCATTTTGCCGACAAAGGTCTGTACAGTCAAAGCTATGGTTTTTCCAGTAGCGATGTATCGAAGTGAGAGTTGGACCATAAAGAAGGCTGACCGCCAAAGAATTGATGCTTTTGAACTGTGGTGCTGGAGGAGGCTCTTGAGAGTCCCCTGGACTGCAAGGAGAACAAACCTATCCGTTTTGAAGGAAATCAACCTGACTGCTCACTGGAAGGACAGATCCTGAAGCTGAGGCTTCATTTTGTTTTCTTCTCTTCTCTGCTATTTGTAAGGCCTCATTGGACAACCACTTTACTTTCTTGCATTTCCTTTTCTTTGGGATGGTTTTTGTTGCTGCCTCCTGTATAATGTTACGAGCCTCTATCCAAAGTTCTTCAGGCACTCTGTCCACCAATTCAAGTTTCTTAAATCTGTTGTTCACTTCCACTGTGTATTCATAAGGGATTTGGTTTAGATTATACCTGACTAGCCCAGTGGTTTTTCCTACTTTCTTCCATTTAAGCTTGAATTTTGCTATGAGAAGCTGATGCTCAGAGCCACAATCAGCTCCAGGTCTTGTTTTTGCTGACTATATAGAGCTTCTCCATCTTTGGCTGCAAAGAATATAATCAATCTGATTCCGGTATTGCCCATCTGGTGATTTCAATGTGTAGAGTTGCCTCTTGTGTTGTTGGGAAAGAGTGTTTGTGATGACCAGCTTGTTCTCTTGGGAAAACTTGATTAGCCTTTGCCCTTTCCTGAAAGGCAGGAAATAAACAAAAGAGTAACATTCAAGGCCGTATTATTCATAAGGCTGACCAGGCTGAAGCCTTGGGGCTTTGCAGGAACTAGAAGTCCATTAATTTTTTATTTTGCTGAGGCACTTTAGGGCTGTCAGCTGTAGTGAGATGAAAGACTAAAGTGCCAGAGAGGGCCCAAAATATGTGAAAGCCTGGGGCCTGTGAAAGCCATGGTTTAATATGGTCCTGATAACATTCAAAGGGCAGCTTGACTTATGACTTAGCCAGTGGAGAGGTCTTGGCTGTGTCACCCATCTCTAATTACAAAAGTTATTTCCTATCTAGGTAATTTGTGCCTTCAGTCCTCAGACTTTGTGCTGAGCTGCTACTGCCCGCAGGAATCTTGGAAATTGTAGTTTAGTGATGTGTGGAAAACAATTTGAGATCTTAACCCCCTTTTTAAAAAACCCACATTAACATTATTTATTATTCATTTGTTTTGCTTTGCTTTTATTATATTTTATGCATTTGTTTTATTTGTTAAATTTATTGTCTTTCTCCTATGGAATGTATATTTGCATATCTAGACTGGGTTTCTAATACAACCTCCTACCCAGACATTTCACTGACAAAAAGCCAGACCAATTGCATGTTCAAATCTGGATATAAATACAGGACATGTAATTTCAATATCACTGATAGCTATCTAGGCTGTGTTTAAACATCTTCTGTAATTGCAGAGCTGATCATCTTACCAGGTCACCTCCTTTACTCTGCTAGGTACATTGACCAGTACTTTCTTCCCTTTCACCACATGTTGCAATAATCCATTGCACAAGTGGTTACGCTCTTATGGGACTTCATTTCTAACCGGCACATCCATGAGTCCCCATTGTTTTAAAGGGGACGATATCTGCTTGTGCTACATGTTTGATCTTGAAATTTAGATTAGATTAGGCATCCTTCAGTCTTGAGAGACTATGTGAAAGTGAAATGCTCTGAATGGAGGACTTGGAACAGCTCAGAAGACCAATTTGAAAGTGATAATCCCTTCCACACTGAAATACAATCTGTCCCCTGTCCAGCTCCTTGATTTTGCTGGTTTTGGGACTGCCTCTTTGCCTTGGCCTGCTGGACAAGGGTCTCTTCAAATTGGGAGAGGCTATGATGCCTCCAGGCTGAATGCTCAGATGTCAAGGTTTCCCATCTGTTGAGGTCCATTCCTAAGGCCTTCAGATCCAGCGGGATCTTGAAATAGGATCCTGGTTATTGCTGAGATGTTTCTCCTTGTATTCACTGAAATGTGGCTCCCTTCAAATGTTTTTCACTTTGCACAGTGGTAAATTTCAAAGTGCCCCTCTCATCATGACACTCTTCATAGCTGTGCTATGAAGGAGAGTCCAAAACTGCATCCACATCCACAAACCAATCTGAGCCATTTTCAACTCCACCAGAAGCAGAGTCTTTTGTAAGGCAAACTGTTCTAGACTAAGCTGTCTCCAAATATTTTTGATGACAATATATTGTTGCTGGTAAAATCCATTTCCCCTATCTACTGTGAAAAATTTGTCACCAAATTATGGTGAGAGTAGCAGGTGGCCTCATACAGTAGTCCCTCCCTGCTTATGAAAATACCCTAATACAGTGCCTCAACCTTGTGAGGCTAGGCTCCCTTCGAACGATGTTCTTGGAGAAACAGAAAAACAAAAGGCAGCTGTGGATTATGAGGAGCATTCCCAATCATCCCGGATCAGTTTCCTTGCCAGATTAAAAGCTTGCAAGACGTTTGAGCTGAAGTGGGTGGGTGGGCATTATAAAGATATTACAGTACTCGAATATGGTGTTTTGTGAAGTGAATTGCAGCATGCCCAGCTTATGCCAACTTGTGTTTATTTATCTAAAATATTTATACCCCAGCTTTCTCCGGAAAAGGACTCAAAGCAGCCTATGTTATTAAAAACAGTTTTAAGATATTTAAAAAATAAATTGTTCCACATTATTTCTTAGTCCTTCAGGTGACACAATTCCTCCTTGTTTTTGCTCCAGCCGACTAAAAGAACTATCCCGCAGAAAAATGATTCCCATCTGCGTTCTCCTCAGCAAGAATTTGCAACGACACGGCTTCTGGTTAAACGCATGGAACCTAAATGGACGATGGAGCTCAGCACCTCGGGATGGGAGGCTGGGAAACCGCGCCGGAGCGCGAGCTTCGCAGTCGGGAAGCACCGCTCGTTCCCTTCACACAACCTCCAAACAAATTGAACTGGAGGCCTGAGGGTGGGCGGGGAGGTGCGGGCGTCTTAATTGCTTAAAATCATCCCTCCCCTGCACGTCCTACATAAAAAAGAAACTGCAGGGAAGGCAGAACAGGAAATGAGAGACGACTGGTTCGCTCCTGTCCCTCTTCCAAATAAGATCGTGCCCGCCCCCGTCGTCGTGCCTAACCCCCGCCTCCTTTGAACCCGTCCTATTGAGACCATCCCTACGGAAACGCTTTGCTATTCCTTCCTTCGAACACCCGTCCCTCCCCCCGCCCAGGTTGCTGCGATGGTTTGCTTCGCTTAGTGCCTCCGCCGGTCTTCCTGTCCACCCCTTCCACGAGGACACGGTGGTATATTCCTCTGGCACAGCACCGAGGCTTGGGAGGCTTCCAGTCCTCTTCTAGCAAAGAGCTGCTGCTGCTGCCGCCGCCGGCGCGCTGGTTGGGGGCTTAGAGAGGAAAAGAGGAGGCCCGCCGGTGCTGGAGAGGCAGGAGCCGGGGACTGGCACCAGGCCGCCTTCCTCCTCCCGCCCTCATTCTCTTGGCTGGCATGACACTTTTTGGCAGCAGCGAAAGGTGCTGGAGATGTGAGTACTGGCTGCACCTCCGTAATCCTATTGTGTGGATTTTGTGCGGTTAGCTTCAGCCGTTCGCCCCAAGACAGGGAGGATGATGGCCCGCCAGGAGGCAACCTGGGGAAGGCACACGGCTGGCGGGCCGAGGAGAAAAGTTAAGAAAGGGAAACTGGAAGGGGTCCCTCCGTCTCTTACCCCTCCCTCGGCTAGTACGGTTGGAAGAAACGAGCAGAGGTGTTTAATTTTGCTATGGAGGAGTATTTGGATTATTATTTATTTGATTCCTCATATGGTTTGTTTGTTCCTTTGTTTCTGGCTTGTAAATAAAGCTGGTTGGTAAATTTTATTTTTAACCCGAAAATAATAAACTGTTGGTGAAAGAAGCTTAGATGACCAAGGCAATGGAAACTGGCAAAGATTATTTATTTCTTTATTTGAAACCTTGGAAGGGTAGTTTGCCTGCTCAGTGGTCAACCAAAACTCAGCAGGAGGGAGGGGAATCCATCATCTCTGGAAGTTCCCATTCAAAACCACTACAGAGTGCATTTGGCACAGGATGCCAGAAAGAAGGATGCTTTGAAGGGGCTGGGGGAATAATATATGTGCCAGTATGAATGTAGATATAGGTACATGTGTATTCAGTTCTGAAAATTATTCTAATTTTCCCCCCTGTGTAGTTAGCTTCAGAGCACCTGCATCAGAGAAATCTATGTGTAGCTTTGCAGTGCCAAGGGAAAGTATCCTTCAGACTGAATGAAGATGAGAAACCAGTGCCCTGCCTGTCTTGCAAGAAATGGGGCTCTCAATTCAATCTGTGAGCCTGACAGTGACTTACTAGAGAACCTGTATGGACAAGAGCAGCCGGCAACTGTTGTGCACCTCTTGAGGTCATCTCAAGCAGAAAACAACCCGTGTCAGCAACAAACAGGGGCTGATTTGCCAAACCAATTTGGTTGGGCAAAGAAGTTTAGGAGAAGATTCTGTTTCATATAGTAAACCTTTCATTTTTCTATATTTCATATCTGTTTCTAAAGATCAATTATGCTAATTTCAATATGAGTTATGTACAAGTACATATATTTAGGATTGCAACCTTAATTCAGATTGCATTTGTGATAATACTTTGTATATTTGAGCATTTTAGTTATATTCCCATAGCAGCTAAAAAGGCAAGTTTTCACCTTAAATAGACAACGTTAGCACAAAGCCTTGTTTTGTCTTATAGAAGGATTTGCCTTTAGCCATGTTCTGCAGATTAAGAGGCACAGAGTGCCAGAGAAGTTTTCTGGATGAGAATCTGTCCACTGTGTTCTGTCCTGTGTTACTACTTCTATTGCTACCTTGTACATTTCAGCTTCCAATCTCAAGAGTGTGGAGGCTAGTTTTGAAACCAAGTTGGTTTATATACCTGTGAAATACTGTATTGTGAAGATCCACATTTCTAGGTGACCTCTAGACACTGCTTTGGATTTAGTTAAGATAATGTTCCAAATCATATTTTCCTTTGCACAGCCTGCCCCCTTATGTCCTCATCTGCTCTGCTATTTCTCTCTCATTGTCACGACTTTCTGTTTTTGTCTAGATCTAGACATGGCCCATGAACCCAAGCTAAGTCATACCAGGCCTAGTCAGAAGAGGCAACATGGTGGAGGCCTATATCCGTGAGTTTCTGCCACTACTTAATAGTGACTGGATGGGATTATGCCAATTAATGTGCTAGAAATACTCTGTGACTGAGGTGGACAGAACTGGAGAAGGAGGATGTATATGTTCAGAACTAGAAAAAGTTGCTGTTAATATTGGTTAGATACTCTTTTAGTAGTTGTGACAAATATTCTTTTCTTTAGTTTGAATATGCCAGATCATGTGCATTTTGGAGGTGTGTGTGTGAGAGAGAGAATGTGCACAATGTTGTCATGCTGTTCAGTTGCCTTAGACTTATGGTGACCATACAAATGAGTGACCTCTAAAATGTCCTGCTAAGCTCTTGCAAGCTCAATGCCATGGCTTCCTTTACTGAGTCAATCCATCTGATAATTGGTTTTCCACTTTTCCTGCTGCCTTCAACTTATTCTATTAGCAGAATAGGAACAACTATTATATTGCACAAGTGAGATAACTAGTCTGAGTACACACCATCCTGTTACTAACACTCTGTTATTGTTGTCTGTTGTTAGGTTGTTGCTATCTTAAGTTCTGCTGCTCAAAAGACTTCACGTGCTTGTCACATGGAGCCACTCTGTGCGGAAGGTTAGGCTGAGAGAACCAGTGAGTTTCATGGCTGTGTTGGGATTTGAACTTGGGTCTTCCTAATGCTGGTCTGAGGCTATGTTAATTATATGAAGAGTAAAAAGCCTTTCTGAGATCTGAAATTATTTTCAGGGGAGTTCTGTGGGCTCTGTCCTGATAATGGGCAAGATGAAAGACAAAATACCACTATATTTCAGCCTATACCAATGTATTTCCTGCCTATAGCTGAGCCCTGGGACAGACATTGGCATAGTTTTGAATGGGAGAAAAACAGTTTACAAAAGCCAGAATACCACTGGATTGTGAGAAAGGGGGCAAAGTCATCTGAGGCAATGCAGATGGCTGCTTGTCTGGGTCCCCAAAACCAAATTCAGCCCCAGGTTCCTCAGCTCAGCATTACATTACTGCTTCTCTCTAGATGTGCTAAGGATAAATAAAGTGGGGATTAACATCTGAGTAAACATTTGCACCATTGAACTTCTAGTTGTGCAAACCCTAACAGCTTCCGTGACAAATGAGAATACCATAGGAGGAGCCCTCTACAGCCAGAAAAGGGGCGGGGGAGGGGGAGACTGCAGGAACTGAAGGCTTTCATCTCTGCTGGTAATGTCCCTATATTTTTAAAGAAAAAAACAAAGCTTTTCCATCTTCTGCTTCTGATTATATAGTCTACTTGATTTCTGTGTTGACAATCTGATGACCTGCAGGTACACAATTGTCTTTTTAGGTTACATGAAGCATGTATTTGTGATAACAAATTGTTGACTTCACAGAGTTCTGTGAATTGCTCCCTTCATTTCTGACTCCTAGGTCACATCCTCCATCACTGTTTGGTTCTGATTTATTTTCTATTTCTGTGTTTTAATCACACTTAAATATCAACATGCCTTGTTTTGGTGTGTAATCTATTTCATCCTAGGTACTTTCATCTATTTAGCATGGCACATAGAGCTGGATTATGGTTATGTTGATATGACATCTGATTGATATTAATCCGTCACACTTTGCATTACATAGCCCTAACTGCTTGTACTACAAAATCAGCTGACTATTTCTTCTGATTTTTTCATTTGCAGGGTAAAACACCTTGTTATAATCCTATTGAAATGGTCTTATTTCAGTCTACTTTATTTTTCCCCCTTGCATGATATAATGACAAATTCTGCTTACTTGGTTTTTTCTCATGCTTGGCCACTGTTCAAAATATTGGAGCAGAGCCTTGGCAGTCCTGTGTAGTCAAATTATGCATTACCTACATCCCGTATAACAGGTCTTTTGAACTTGCATGGAGTTTTAAAACGTTTTTTAGATCGTATAGCAACATTGTGAACCTTTTTATTTGTTACTGTTTTATAGCTTTGATCACATGTTTATGTAAATACACATCTACAGACCTGTACGGAAATCTGGGTCTTTTGCTGTAGTGGCCTAGCATGCACAACATTGTAAGCTAGGACAGAGTGAGGCAAAAACTAGGACAGAGTGAGGCAAAAAGCTCAAGGAAGTTAAGGGTGTATAATAATCATTCTTAGTGGAGAAAAGAAGTATTTATAGATTGAAAAAACTGAAAAAATTATAATAAAAATAAAGATACATTTTCCAGACTGTGGGAAAGTTCACCTAATGCGTACCCTGTTACTAAACTGGCCAGGTTTATACAACTTCCTTGCAGAGTCTTATATTTAGCAAGACACGTATATGAATGTCACAGACTGTTTTGACTAGAATATTTGTCAGGCTAAGGACAAGTACAGGTTAAAAATAATGTCTGTGAAGAAAGCCTCTGTTCTCAAGGTGAACTCAGCCCCCAAGAAGAAATGACAGTAATAATGGCTCTAAATGATTGGATCACCTTATTTTATTGTTGTGCTACAAGAATTGTGTGGAAGTCTGAAAAAGTAAAACAGCCTAGAGTGCTTCGCAGTTTCATAAGCAGGGTTGCTCATCTTCTTCCATGCATTTTCCTTCAACTATCAGAGATTAGCCAGGTGGACAAAGATTAAGATCAGGGCAGAACAGGGCACATGGCTAGCAAGGGGCCAGCTCAGTATAGTCAGCTTGGCCATAAACCTGATAAAAAGACACACAATGGCTGCCTTTAATGGTGAGAACCATTAAGCAGTGAAACAGCTTGCCTCCCGATCTTGTGGATGCCCTGTTGCTGAAGGTTTTTAAGAAAAGATTGGACAGCCATCTGTCTGGAATAGTATGAAGTCTGGGATGGTATGGGGTCTCCTGCCTTGGGCAGGGGGTTGGACTAGAAGACCTCTTCTGGGGCAAATCTTGCTGTGTCTGCCTGTCTGAACTCCACTCCTGCTGATCCCTGCTAAATCTTGGACTCTGGCAGGCTGAGACAGTAATTTCAACTCCGAAATAAAGCCAGCCACAAAGACTTTGTGCTGACTTTATTTCTGAGCTGAAATTACTATCTAAGCCTGCCAGAGTTCAAGATTTAGCCAGACAATCCTGCTAGGCTCTGTTGCTCTTCTGAATTCCTGGTTTCTGACTTACCTTTGTTAGCCTGTCCTCTCTTAGGATCCTTGATGAAGAATCCTCTCACAATCGTTCCAGCTGGAGTTCCAACACTCCACCGCTGAGACTAAGGAGATGCAATATTTGCCACCACTAATCTATTTTACTGGAGCATTTTCCCCAGATGGCTCCACAATCTGCCCCAGGCGTCCCTTCGCGTGTATGTGTGTGTATGGTGGGGGCAGCTTTAGGGAAATATCCTTCTTTTCCTCTTTTTATTTTTGTAGCTCCTCTGCAGATAGTTTGTCAAGGCACTGCAGAATTATGCAGTGTGGCCTGACTCTCAGAACTCTCTCATTCTGTGTTTCCCCATTTTAGTTATATTCTGTATTGTTGAATCTTTGAAGTTTTCCAATGTAATTTTGTATATTTTAATTCTTTTGTGTTCAATAAAGTTCTTACGAATTGCTCTGCATGAGTGTGATATACTCAGCCAATCTTGTCAAGATGCAGCGTTACTGTAGTTCAAAGATCCCTTATGGGTCAGTCTCTAAACATGTGTGGGTTCATACATGTGCTCGGGGAGCATGCCTGGTAACAACCCCCAGTGTTTGACAGGCAGGCTATTTCTTTATGATTTATAATAGTAAAGTTACAGTAAGGAAAGACAGGTGCAGAGAATAATTATTTGTCAAATAAGGAGCACTAAATAATGGCAAACCCAGAATGCCCTCAGAAGAAGGGAATGATAAACCACTTCTGAGTACTCTATACCTAGGAGGCCACAGAAAGGGTAGCCATGAGTTGGAATTGACTTAATGGCAGGTAATTAATTAAATAATGGCATGGCCAAAGTGCAGTATGGAATACTCGGGTTCCAATGGTGCAGGATTTGACAAAAGCTTTTAATTGAAATAATATCAGCTGTGGGTCCTGATGGCAGTTTTTACCTTTGGGTAGTGTGGGCGGCATATTAATTAGATAGATAGATAGATAGATAGATAGATAGATAGATAGATAGATAGATAGATAGATAGATAGATAGATAGATAGATAGATAGATAGATAGATAGATAGATTAGGGCGTCTCCTGACAGAACATTTCTTCTTGCACAAGTGCCTGGCTCATCATTGACAGTTCCCATATTTTTCCTGCCATCTAGATAAAGCAAACCATATATATCTGATATTGTTGGTGCCTTGTTGTGTGATTTTCCAGATATTTCTTTTCCTCTGGCAAGCATAGTTCTGTCTCAGAAGCTCCCAGTACTAAGTTTTTAATTCGTTCCCCAATAGTAAGCTTTTAACTAGAAAAAAATCTATAAAAATTAGCTCCAGAAACAGAACTCGAGCACAGAAGTAGATTTCTGAGGATTTTTTAAAAAGGATTTTTAGAAGCTGTTTTTCAATACCATAGTTTAATATTCTGTCATTTAGTTATGCTGTCTTATGTTTTTTTTAAATTATGCCATGTCTATCTACTGGTGGTTTATTGGTTCATTATAATTTTGTTAGAGTCTATTTCAGTGGTGGTGAACCTTTTTGGGCTTGCGTGCCCAAACTGGAAAACAAAACAAAACAAACCAGCGGGTGGCGGCCCCAGAAGTGGCGGACCTGGAAGTCACCCAGCTTCCCCCTCTCCCCTCTGGGGGTTACCCCCCTTCCTGCGCCCACCTCTCCCCTCAATACATCTCCTTTCCCTCCCCCCACCCTCTTTAGACACCCACCCTCAGGCCCCCCCATTTCCCCTCAGGGACTCACGTAGTCGGGCAGGGGCCATGGGTAGACGGACGCCTCCGTCCCCACAGGGGACTTAAGCCACAGCTGCAGCTTCTGGCCCATCTTGAGGAGGTGTGTGCATGTGTGTGGGGTGGCTGTGAGGAAGAAGACTGAGTGATGACGGGGAGGGGGGGACCGGGAAGGAGGGACCGAGAAAGAG